GGTTGTTTTATTCATTAAGGACAGTCATGAGACAATGAACAGGCAGGGAAGTAAATGAAGCAAAGCCCCCTCAGTTGGTGTTACTGTAGTACAGAGATCCGGATCTATATGCTTACGTTTGCGTTGTTCTGAATGCTTAATGTGGTGTTTATTCAATAAGTGGTGTTCTGTTGCTGCAGGATGACTGGACTGAACCTCAGCCAGTCAGAGACACTAATCTGGATAAGAAGGGTTCAAATCCCATGAGATGAGTGGTTTAGGACAATTTGATGAATTAGTTCTAGAAAGAGAGACTGATAAGTTTTATTTAGCTATTATAAGTTTCTTTTGATACAAAATTTTAAAAAATCTGATGTTTTGTCTCTGTAGATCTAAAAACCATTAAAGTGTTTCTCTTAATGTTGTATGAGCTTTAGAGGTGAATTTCTTCAGGGGACTGTATATGTGAGCATGATGAAATGAGCATCAGTGCTCTGTGAATATGCGCTTCTTTCTGTGCGCTTTTAAGCCTAAATCCATTGGGGATTGGATGTTCACTCAGACTGCTTGATAATTAACTGACCTCATTAAGAAGGACAAGATCAGCTTCACAGTGAATTTTTGTTTCACTCACTCTCTATCATTATCTTTTTTAATTTCTTTATGAGAGCGGTAGGGTACAGTTCTTGCTGCATAAATAGTTATTAACAAAAAATGAAATAAAATGGCCTGCAAATCTGAGACTAAGGCTTCAGTTAGCATGCTTAGTGCTAATTGGACCAGAAAAGAAAATACTGAACTTTCACTAATTGAAGTATTTTGGTTGTTGGTTTTCTTCAGGGTTGTACGGGTTTTACTTAGTTATATTTTACTTAGTTATATTCTCTAGGCTTATTGTTGTAAGGAAGTGTCTTCATCTTAGTTCATTCTTTGCATTTAGCCTCTTAGAGTTTTTTCCTTGTATTTAGAGTTATTTCCTGTAAGATCTCTGATATATTCCTTTGGTCTGTCTGTGTTACTTAGTCTTCCTTTCTTAGTCTCTCAGCTTACCCTTCTTTCTGCGCCAAATATCCCCTTATTGACAAACCTTTTTTCTATGTAATTGCGCTTATCCTGAATGAGTTTGCCTAAAATGAAAATATTGATATTTTAAAACCAATATTGCGGTTTTATTATTATTTTTTTCTTTTTGCACTACCTGCAAGCATGTAGATGTTTCACTCAAAGGTTTCAGTTTTTGTCATGAAATCCTGCTTGTCCATAGTCCGTTGCTGCTATAACCTTTGTGTAAATAAGTGCTTAATTCTACTTGCGTGCAAAAATCTGGTGCAAGGTGCAACTCTCCCAGGCCACTTGGGCAAACTCCTCTGGGTGAATCCCAAGGCGTTTCACAGCCAGCCCAGAAACATAGTCCCTACGGCGTGTCTTGGTTCTCTCTCTGGGTCTCCATTTAGCGCTTAAGATAAAAAAAATAAAATAAAAAAACTTTTTCATTTGTCAATATGTTCTATCCAGAACTCCTCAAGTGGAAAAGTTTGAGTTTCATTTAGTTTAATTTCATAAAAAATGTTAAAGGAATCTTTGGCTATCTGATTACTAATCGATTAATCATAAAAACAATAAACAGATTAATTGATTTGCAAAATAATTGTTAGTTGCTGCCAAAACAGAGTGAATCTGGATTTGAAAATTGCATTTTGTTAAATTATTATAATGAAAATGAAATTAATTGCAAATCCCTATATTGCACACACCTCCTAACATATATATATATATATATACTCACTTAGATCTTTGTTGGCTTCTTACATTAAATATGCTCTGTTTCCCTGCCTGTTCTTCATAAGTCAGATTCATTCTTGGTTTTCCTCTTTCCAACCTTGTAAGATAATTTTATTTCATATTGAATTATGAAAACATATGACTGTTGAATTTTTTTTTTACAGGGAGACAATTATTGCTCTTTGAGAAAAATACGTCATGGTAGCTTTATGGTAGCATGGCTTACAAATTTTAATCTGAAAGAATTAAATATAATTTGAACTGAAGCAATTTCAATTGAGATGATTTCTCGTCCGGATAAAATCAAATATAATTTATCAGTTTGAACTCCTCATATCTAATGTCAAGCACAACAGTGGATTATATGCACTTCAGGTATTTTAAGCAGCCACAGAATCTTGGAACACAATCAAATTTTTTACAAAGCTTTTCAATGTTAGTGTAGTTGGGAAAAAGGTATGTAACTATTTGCTCCTGTTAAATAAGATCGATGGATTTCACTCAGTCTGCACTTTATTTTCATATCTTTGCAAAGAGAGAACAGTTCATCATATTCATCATATTGCTTGGTAATCAGCCCTGTTCTGCCTGGGCAGCGTTTGTTCTCCCTTACTTACAATAAGGGAAAGTAGTCTGAGTCAAATCAATTACAGACACTTTGGTTAAACACTAACATGTTATGAATAAACCTTGACAGAGAATTTGGTTTGTTACTGGAAGAAGGTATGTCTGGTCTACAAACACCCTCCGAAGGGGAATTGTGAGGCCTTGCAGATGAAACAGGCTGAGTGAAAACTTTTATAGTGAGTTAATAGCATAAATTAATATATGAAGTGAGAGAAACTAAATTCTCCGACTACAGTTAGTCTGGATTACAGCTATGAATGTCTTGTGTGTTTTAAAACCCTTAATTTAAGGTTTTAATTTTAGATGATAGTAAAGACAAAATTTTATTTTTTTATTATTATTTTAGCACCTAAGGGCAAAAAAACAAAGGTACAGCTGACGAAATTCTCAAAGATACTAAAACAGGAAGTAGAGTGACTGTGATTTCTGAGCATTTTTTTTAGACTTAGCGTAAATATTGACACAGTAGCTGCCATGGCCTGAGTGTGACGGATACACTGACTAGCAGATGTCTGCAGTAAAATCCACACCAGACAGCAGCACAGTGAGTATGACCCATCTGTCACTGGTAGCATCAGCGCACTGTCAGGAGCTGTCTCTTGCTGTCCTGCAGGTTTCTACCTCTTTCTCTGTGGGTGTGTCCCTCAAAACGCTCTTTAAATAGGAATTAAGGTCAACAATAGCTGTCTAGAATTTTTTTTTTTTTCAGGGACACATATTGGTAGAAAACTCCAAAATCCACATATGTTTTTAATAGCTGTCATGTTGTCTCCCCAACAATAGATGTGTTAGCGGGAGCCTGCTTAGTGGCTCTTTTCATTCCTATATAAACTCCTAACACAAAACCTGATTTCTCCATTTGCTCCTCTTTCTAGAGAAAATACAAAGTCTCTTCCAAACTCGTATCATCATTAAGGTAGAAAAGTTGTTGATAATCGGACATCTGAATCCTGCAGTCAGTTTAACCCAGAAAGAAGAGAAAGGATTTTCCTTTTCGCTGTGGGATTTATGCAGATGATATCCGCATGTGCAGTAGAGAATCACGGCTCTTTTTGAAGTGTAGACTGAGCGATACAGAAGCAGCTCCGTAACGTGGGTGAAGCTGCTAGAGCCAACGCAGCGCTCCCACTCACTCACTGCAGCGGATGGCACACATCTGCATCGGGAAAAGACGCAACAGCAGAATGAAAGCTGACATAACCCACTTACACTGGAAATCACAGTGATGTAGTGTGGGCTGCCTCTGCTTCCCCTGTTTGTGTGTAATTGGAGAGAAAGTGAAGGTTTATTATTCAGATCCATGTTTCTGTAAATTTTCACTTTGCCCTAATGACTAAATGGGCCCCTCCATCACATTCATTGCAGTTTGCAATGATAGAGCAGTATGTGGATAAATGTGAGTCAGACAGGATGTTGTTCTCCACGGATGATGAGTCACTGCGCATAGAGGGTTTAATGGTCAAGTCAGAAATTTCCCCCCTGCTAAGCTCCAAATGTGTGTGGTTTTTCTTCGCTAGGTGATGTAAAATAGTTATTTCCACTTTATTTTTCAGCCAAAGTTATTCCTGTCAAGTAATTTTATGAGGAAGGTCCAAAGAGCTACTTTTGGCTCTGTAGGTGCAGGTACACCCTTAAAGTGTGACCTGTTACTGAAATCATCAAACTCATGCTTTGTTTTTTAAAATGTTACTACACATCATGTATATTTAGTTGATTTTATTTTTTAATTTGGTGTAAAGATTTTCATCTTTTGAAGATTTGCTGTGATTTGCTCCATTGTTTATTTTATTATTTTAAGGGTATTGCTGTACATTCTGATCTTTTTTTAATGTAAAGCACTTTGAGTTCCCTTGCCGCTGAAATGTACTATACTAACATTTTTTTTATTTTTTCCTTTGCCTTACCAGGGCTAAATTAATAAAAGGAACCTTAATAAGCATGAGTGATGTGTAAGTATAGTTTTTAAAAAGAACATCAGTGGAAAATCCAAATACCTTAATTTGAATTTCACAATTTTTTTAACTTTTCTTTCATGAGTTTGTGGTTCGTGTGTTTAGGATTGTATTGTCATGCAAACACAGTTTGTTTTTCTTTCTTTTTTTACTTCTAAACATGCTGTAAAAATGCATTTTTTTTCTATTTGCTCTGTAATAGATGGGGAATCAGTTCTTTGTGTGAAGCACATAGGCTCCATTGGATTGGTCTGAGTTGAATAGGAGAAGGATTTTGTTGAGATAGTGTGAACTGGGGTAGAATGAAAATAAATGAACTGAAGCAGGTGAATGTAAAGAATGGTGCTCCATCTGTTTGCACAGCGGGGGGTTCTGAATGGGATGGGGTTCAAAAGGAGGCAGAAATAGGAAAAGCACGGGGGGTGGGGGTTCTGGAGGTATTTTTGGCTTTCTTAGGCCAGTGTGGTTTAAATTGTTTAAATTATTAATGAGGTTGAAGTGATGAAATAAAGAAATGATTCAGGTCGGCCTCAGTTAAGCATGATTATATGTGCATTTTGCATCCTAGAAAAATCAAATAAAAGTTACAACACACCAAGTGCACAGCTTAGTTTATCTTGCTCTGAAGTCTTAAAACGTCTCCTTCTTATTTCCACCCAGGAAGGCAAGCAGCTGATTAAGGAGAAGCCGGAGCTGAGCCCCGTGGTCCGGAAGAAGCTGGAGGAGATCAGGGATTGCTGGCTAGATTTGGAGAGCACCACCCAGGCCAAAGCCCGCCAGCTCTTCGAGGCCAACAAGGCGGACCTGCTGGTGCAGAGTTATGAAAGCCTCGACCAGAGGCTGGGCCAGCTGGAGTGTCAGCTGTCCTACGTGGACCAGGGACAGGACCTCACCACCGTCAACAAACAGCTCAAGAAACTCCATGTAGGTGTAAATGAACGGGCCTCCAGCTGAGGTTTGACCCAGAAACCACCTGGTTTAAAAGGGCGGTTCTTTTAGCAATTAAAAACATTTTGGGGTCAGTTCTGCAGCAAGTCTGTGTGTCCTGTTTTAAATTTATTTTTATTCTATTAAAGAATATTTAATAGGATTTTCAAGGGACATAAATGAAAAACATTATCAACAAGAAACAGACCCAAGTTAAATCACACATATATTTATAAGTAAATGTTCTGTATGAAAATGCTGATATGTAAGAACAAATAGTTTTTTTGTAGTTGTTTTTATTATTTGTTATTACTTTATTGTTTGCATCTTTTAAAAATTTCTTTTTATCCTCCCAAACTTATTTACTAACTTATTCATTCCCTCCACTTGCGCTGCTTTTCAAAAATGTATATTGTTTAATTATAAGATAAAATAAAACTTTTTATTGGATTAAAATTTTATGTAAAATAGAACTGAAAAGTTACATTTCTGTTAAGGTTTCTGAATAACTTTAACCTTCATCTGTCTACCATTTTCCACCCCCCGCTCTCTCTCTTTTAGACCATGGAGTCCCAGATGGAGCAGTGGTATAAGGAGGTGGGTCAGCTGCAGGTTCAGGCGGCTTCCATCCCGCAGCAGACACAGATACAAGGCACGGTGGTGGAGCGACAATCCGCTGTAGAGACCAGGATGGCCCGACTGATCGAGCCATTGAAGGAGAGACGGAGGCTTCTTCTGGCATCTAAGGACGTTCATCAAGTCGGGCGAGACCTGGAGGATGAGATTGTGAGTTGGAGACAGCAAAAGAACATTTCTACTGATCTTTAAAAAGATGCGAAGAATATAAGACATGCTAGGAATTCACTTTGTGATAATTATTCTAGTCGTTTAGATATGAGCTAATTAGGAAAAAATGAAAATTCTACCTTCTAGAATTAATTTATCTAGTATTAGGTCCTCTGTCTAAATATGTGGTTCAGTAATGTTTATGGTCACAGGTAGATAAAATACAGCGTGCAGACTGATGCTACTGACATGGATGAAAAGAGGGGTCTTAGAGTCTCTTTCTTCTAAATATTGCACAGTCAGCTGTTTGTAAAAGTGGAAATTGGTGTTAGGCCAAGGAACGTCACAAAGCTTGGTCAGCACAATACTAAGAGATCTGAAGGTTTCCACAGCAGGGCTTGAAATTAACTTTTTTGCTCACAACAGCGGTTGTTAGTGGCTTTCCAAAGTTACTAGCCAATCATCATTTTTACAAGCCATCATTTCACTTTTTGGCAAGTATTTTCAATACAACTGAAGCTGACTTAGGCATGCTATGGTTTGCTAGAACTAGATTAAAAGTTGAAAGAAGTTTTCTTATTGCAAATCAAAATGGGTGCAGGTAAGTGTAATATTCATTCATACACAGTATTTAAAAGTGGGAAAAAAACCTTCAATTAGCAATTGTCAATATATCATAAAACATTGCTGCAAATAGCAAAGGGAAGTGGTGGCCTAGTTGTTAGGCCATAGAGCTTGGAATCTAGAGGTTCTGAGTTAAAGCCCCACTCCCACGGACTGCCACTCTGGGTCCCTCTTGCACCACTCTGGGTGCAAGACCCTTAAACCTACACTGCTCGCCGGGCGCCGCACATTGGCAGCCCATGCTTCCGAAGGGGGATGGGTTAAATGCAGAGAGTTCATTTTGTTGCTCTCTTCTTGTGACAGTATAATGACAATAAGAGCTCGAAAAAAAATAGTAATTTATCAAACAATGAGAAAAAAAAATTATAATAAAGGTTCAAATGCGTACAACTCAGTTACTGCATAGTAAGTAAGATATGATATGATCTGCATCACCTTAAAGGGGTTAGTTTGAGTGAAAAGTTTAATAAGGAGATTTCTTAAACAAAAAGTTCAATATAAGTATAAACATTAGTGGTTTTACCATTTACAGGGTAACAAAAAGGACATTTTCTTACACTAAATGCTCAGAAAACAACCAGTAAACTCATCTGCATTCTCCATGATTTAAAGGATAATTTCTTGTTGTTTATAAAATGATCCCTCAATGCTGATTCCTCTAAAATCAACATTATCTTATCTTATCTAATCAACATCTTTATCTTAAGTGTATATATTAGTATATTTTTTGCATGCCTTATACCCTAGTGTTTTTAGAGATTTTTATAATTGTATTTACTATTTCATGTATGTTTCATGTTGCACGACTGTACCACAAAAATTTCCTAGTTGTGAACCTCTTCACTAACAATGGCAATAAACCCGATTCTGATTCTGATTCTGATTCTGATAAATTACACAGTAACTGAAAAAAACCCATCTTATTTTAGCATTATTTGTTTGCTTGTATAAATAGTTTATTTTTTCTTTATATTTGCTAATCATGCAGTACATTAAATAAATGATTATTAACTTCATTAAAAAATCAGTAAAATCACAAAAATCATTATATTTCATACTGTATTAGTGTCAGGACATGGTGGGGGTATGAAGGATGTTGTTGGTTTGTTTTTTATTGTTAGCGTTACCGTTTATGTTTTAACTAAATGTGCTGCCATATCACCACCCCCGAGCTTCACAACTGTGTTATGTCTGAAGTAAACAAACACTGCGTGCAGGAAGTGCTTATGGGAATTGTAGTGTTGTAGCATCACATTTCAAATTGGTAATTCATTCAGATGTCATTAGAGAAAAAGACAATTACAAATGTTTTTATAGAATTCAACCTGCTAAATGTCATCGTGGGGGGTTGAGGTTGCTTGAGGACCCAAATGCAGAGATGAGTGAGGCAGAGATGAGTTCTTGTAGATTTAATGAAAAACGGAGGCAAACATCCAAAAACACAAAAAATACTGAGAACCAGATAACCAGCAAACATCAGGGAAAGCTCAAATGGGGGGCCAGAGATGAGGAAGCAACTAACAACAAGGAACTCCACAGGTAGAGAATATATGGGAGACAGAACAAAGACTGGGGTAATCAGCTGATATGGAGCAGGTGTGGATGGAAGTGACTAGAAGGGAGCTAGGGGAAATGAGACAGGCACAAATGGGCAATAGAGAGTAACTAAAGACTGGCTTAAATATAACACAGAATGGAGAAAAAAAACAAAGGTCAACAAAACAAAATTGCTTAGAGTGAGAACTGGAAACTAAAAACTCAAAGTCCCAAAAGGGGAGAACCATAGCACTAAAGCGATTAATCTGAGTTAATTTGTCTACGTTCACACTGCAGCCTGAAGTGACCCAAATCTGATTTTTTGGCCCACATCCGACCTGGATTTAATCTTTTCATGGCAGTCTGAACAACACAGATCCGATTTTTTCCAATCCAACCCAGACTGCTTGGCTATGTGGTCCTGAATCCGATACGGATCTGATCTTTTCAAAAGTGACCTGTGTCTGAACGGCAAGGTCGCATTCATCCGGCCTGAACGCTATTAATACGCGACATAGCTCACTATTCTGCTTCTTGCTATGCAGAAAAGGCAAGAAAAACATCAACCATGGCAGATGATCATGCAGAGAGCAGTATTTATGTTTAACCATCTTGAAAAGATTGTGTTTTTAAGGTTTGGAAAGATCGCTAGATGCTCTCCAGGACTACATCCATGTTTACTTCAGTAAACACCACACACACTGGCTTGTGACATCATTGCATCCTCTACTGCTTATGCAGGACACTTAAGCTGTATGAATGCAGTTTACACAAGAGATCACTTATAAGTCGCATATATATGGAAATGTGAACGGCAATGCGAAATAATCGGATTTCACAGAAAAAATCGGAATTGAGCATCAAGGCCTCCTGTGAACGTAGCCTTTGTTATCTGCCACTCCTGAAATTTGTCAGATGTTTATGTCAAGCAGCGTTGATAGCTACAGACCTACAAACTATATGTTGCCTTCAGATCAACTAAAGAAGAGTGAGAGCATTTTGAAAAGTCTTTAAATATAAAGCAAGACCTCTGGAACATTTGTAAGGATGAAACCAATGTAGTGATGATGAGTTGCGTTTGCAGACAGCACCAACTCCTCACACACACTGCTGAGCACGGTGGTGGAGCGATGATGATTTGGTCCTGGTTTGCAGTCACATAGCTGGTTAGGATCTGCTTAGTCAAACATGAACCCATCTGTATACCAACATCATCTAAGATTAAATTGTAAGACCAGGTTTGACTGATGAGTCTTGGTCCAAGCTAGACCCCACAATCATTGAAGCAAAGATGTAAACCACCATGTAAAGAGGACGATAGAGTCAATCATCTGAAAACTGCTGAATCAGTGGGTGCAATTTTCCACAAACATCTTTTCTCGTTTGTTCTACATTTACTTGAGAAAATCTGAAATCATTTGTGTGTTTTTTGTGCACTTGAGATTACATTTAGCTAATTTCATAGCATTAGATAAAATTAAAGCTTTGTAAACCTGGCATTTTCTATGAACTTCAGAAAATAAAACCAGTATATTCCTCCGATGCTAAGATTTTTGTGTTGTCCTGTTATGGTCACTGTAGTTATGGGTCCAGGAGCGCCTCCCTCTGGCCATGTCCCAGGAACACGGCTCATCGCTTCAAGCCGTCCAGCAGCTCATGAAGAAGAACCAGGTAAGAAAATCAGCATGTATTGTTATTGGGACTGAATGCAGTGGTGCTGCCCGAGTGATTCATTCACTAGATATTACAACTCTTAACTACCATCTTTAAATATAATATTTAAAAATTTTGTTTGGCATTTCACCAATTAGATGAGCCCTTGTTTGATGTATTACCTACTGTAGATTAAGTTGACAAAAAGAAAGTTATAACAAGTCAAGAAAAAAAGGTAAAAAGCTAATTGAAAAGCTAAAAGTAAATGTTAATAAGCCTAGTTAACAATTATATTAGGGTTTAAAAACTTAAAAAATGTAATTGCCAGTATCAGCATTAATGCCTCTAAGGTTATGTTGGACCAAAAAAAAAATTGTTTCTTTTACTCTCAATGTTTTTTATGAATTTCTTATAGAAGCACTTTTGTTATTTTTCTTAATACATTCAGGCAAGTTGGCGTTTCCATCATAATATCTATATTTTTTTATTATTACAAAGGTAATAAGTTATTGTCCTGGGTTCCAAAAACACTATTGACTTGAAATTGTGATTAAAATTTTACTGAGTGGCCTATAAAGGGTTATATCTTCTTACTCTCATCATCTTACTCTCTAATATCTGTGATTTCAGAGCTTTATTTTGTGTCCTGGCTATTTGCTTCTAGATTTAAAGCCCTTGGGAGGTAGACGTTTTCTGAAATTTTATAAAACTTAAATCTTTTTACATTTGAAATCCTACAAAGGAACCATTTTAGAAACTGCTTGAGGGAATCACAATGTTTGATGACGATGATGTAATACTGACTAAATTAAGAGGAACATTTCACCTCTGCCTTTACCCTCAACATGTGATTTAATTTACATTAAACATGAATGAAAGAAACATGGACTGCTTTTCTTCCAAATGCATGCTCAAAGCCATTTTAAATAGGTTTCTTGACTTGTTGCAGACACTTCAAAGAGAGCTGGAGGGACACAGGAGCAGAATCGAAGATGTCCTGGAGAGGGCAGGGATCATTGCCTCCATTAGGAGCCCAGAAGCTGATTGCGTCAGAGCAGGTCATGACCAGCTTGCCCAGCTGTGGGCTCTGCTGTGGGCTGAGACAGAGAGGAGGCAGCTGGTCCTGGACGCCATGTATCAAGCCCAGCAGTATTACTTCGACACAGCTGAGGTGGAGGCCTGGTTAAGCGAGCAGGAGCTGCACATGATGAATGAGGAGAAGGGAAAGGTCAGTTATTTGACAAGCTATGGAAACAAAATATTTAAGGATCAGTGTTTTGAAAATTATTCATTACAAAAAGGTCTTTGTGTGTCACTGACTGCTTGAACTGCAGGATGAGCCGAGCACGCTGCAGTTGCTGAAGAAACATTTGCTCCTGGAGCAAACCATCGAGGACTACGCTGAGACCATCGGCCTGCTGTCACAGCAGTGTCGACAGCTGCTGGAGATGGGACATCCAGACAGGTGAGCTCTAAAACACACAGAATCTCACAAACTGCCTCACGTCACAAACAGAGAAAATGACCAAACCATTACAAGGAGAGCTCTTTATTAATACGTTTAGCTGAATTAGGAAATCATGTGAAATATTCTAACGTTTTTCAGTACACAACAAAACTGATCTTACAACCAAAAATAAGATTTAAAAAAATAGTTGATAGCCAATATCAGCATGTATTGTTCTTCCAGGATAGGATTAACATATTTCTACAAAGCGCTAAGAAATAGATAAAATGGCTTAATTGGTAAACCTTAATAATCCCAAATAATAACTTATACTGAAAGATTTGGTTATGAAACCACTGATTGGATGTGCTATTGGTACTGCTGTTCTTTTGTAATTGTGCTGTCGACACCAGGTTCACATCCATATAGAAAGTGCTTAATAGTAAACAGGCGGCGCAGTGGGATGATGTGAAAATGCTGGGTCTGTGTTTTAATTAAATATTGAAATTAGGAACAAATGTAACGTTACTCGAGTTATGAAAGAGGATTATTTTAAATGAGAGACCAAATCAGCTCAGAGTTTACCATTTAAGTTACCGCTAGCTTCTAATGTTAGCGATCAGCGTGGTTCATGGTGCTAGAATTACTATCATGTAATCTCTGCATGTTCAAGAACAGGGGTCTTCAACGTTGTCCAGGTCAAGGACCCCCAAACTGATGGAGAGATGGAGCGGGGACCCCCTAATCATATTTATTTTATGAAATTGTGTTATATCAAACTAGTCCTATAGTCACTCTATTACAGATGGTGTCATGTAACGAAAGTAATTTCTCCCTGGGATTATTAAAGTATTTCTGATTCTGATTCCTCTTGATGGGACAGGTGTTGTGAATAACATTGTGCCCAGCTTCAAAGAGGTCCTGTGTGTCGCTGAATGTGTGCATTGATGACTGAAAGATGTGTTCTGCCTCCATTTATCTGTTTACTACAGTCTGTTGAATTCATGTTATGTGTATTTAAAGACATTTCAATTACTGGAAAAAATTGCAGGGGGGAATATAAAAAAAAGTCTAATCAACCAAAATTTTTGCGAGCCCCATGCAGTCCCTCTGTGGACCCCCTAGGGTTCGCAGACCCCCTGTTGAAGACCTCAGTTTTAGAACATAATCTAGCCTAGCACCTGCCTATTACAGAAACCTCCCAAAGAGTGACAATCTTTTTTAAATCCTACCTGTTCAATTATAAAATGAGGTAAGAAAGCCAGAAGAACATGTTTCATTGTACTTAGGTTATCCTTCATATTATCTGCTAATTGTGCAGCTCTCTCTTGCTGCCTTATGGCCTAAATGAACTGGAGACATGTCTCAACATACCATTGAAAATTCAGCTTCTTAAAAGTTTTGGGCTCTTTCTCTATTTCTCATTTCATATTTAAACACTGTTGCTGAGGTTAGCTAGATTTGAGTCTACATCACACAGTGACAGCATCCACACAGAAGAGTGTTGTTATCCTGACCTGATATTGCTCTGATATGATGAGTTCACTAATCAAAAATAAATGTTGTATTTTTTAGTATCCACTACTAATCAAGAATTAAAAATAAGTTAAAACTTTTGATCACCAGTACTTTAGTGTACCTCTACTTAGTGTGGTAATTAATATAAAATATATGTTTTATATGCCAGGCAGTCTATTGCATGTGAACTGTTATATACATTATAGCTTGGTTTTCCCATTGTTTCCAATTCTTCATTTTTCCAGTCTTTTTTTTTTTTTTTCCCCAGCGAACAGATCAGCAAGCGTCAGTCGCAAATAGACCGACTGTACGTGTCCCTGAAGGACCTGGTGGAGGAGAGAAAGAGCCGCCTGGAGCAGCAGTACTGGCTGTATCAGCTCAACAGGGAGGTGGACGAGCTGGAGCAGTGGATCGCCCAGAGGGAAGTGGTCGCCAGCTCGCCAGAACTGGGCCAAGACTTTGAGCATGTCTCCGTAAGTTTGTCTTCAGATGTTTGTGGATGAAGCAGACATTTTCTCTCATTTGGATTAGATATTTATCAGGCTAGACAAAGCCTGGTATTTTAAAAGATAAAAGGCTTATACTACAGTACAAAATTATTTAATCAAAGATGTCTTCTCAGCTAAAACATTGTTCTTGGTTTTTAAATGAGGACAATTTAAGATGTTAAATGATTTAATGTTATTATTTTCCTGAATATATCTTTTGACAGAATATTTAGATTCAACTTTAAGTTTAGAAATGTGGAAATGTTTCGATATTTTGAATAAAAAAAGTATCTATGACATGGAGTATCTATCTATCTACTATCTATCTATCTATCTATCTATCTATCTATCTATCTATCTATCTATCTATCTATCTATCTATCTATCTATCTATCTATCTATCTCCTATAAGAATCATTTTCTTTATTTAATTTGTTTATGAAGAGATAATACAAAGTTGCGCAAATTATATAGAGTTTGCCTGACTTGTATAGTTTCTCTAACTTTGAAAACATGAAAGCAATAGAACAGAAACACAAAATGACACATATATGAATAGATTAGAATGGAGTAAGATAACAATGTTTTCAACATTTTTTTAAATCTTTATTTATATTCATTATTCTACACATTAAGAAGATAAAGATTTGAGGTACGCCACTAAAGGTGCCCACTTGCAAATTAATTTAGCCGAATTCCCCCTCACAGTTAATGTTTTTTTTCTACACTCAGAAATGTTCTTACAGTGAATAGCTGTTGTAATATAGATGGAGATGTATGAGAACTTACAACTTAACAGGAATTACTTTCAACATGTAAATCCATGTACATAAAATCTTGTTTGGACCAGGCTGTAATATGTGGTGAGAGATAAACTGGAAATAAAGCTCTGTTTGTACAGAGTCCTAACATTAGGGTTCTTTGAAATCTCTTTAGAGTCTTTTGGGATCTGCAGGTTGTTCAGATCTGTCCATGAAACGGGAGTAAAAAGAGGCGAGGTCGACAGTTTGGGAGCTCAGTGTAGGAGGATTTATAAAAATAAATACCAGTTGTTTTATTTCCTTTTGTCGATTTTTTTTTTTTATATGTAATTTACTTCACCGTCCATCATGTGAATCTGTACTATTTCACTAAGAGAAATAGCATCAAAAAAGCATTTAGAGGGGAGAAACAATTACTTTATTTATATCATGTTAAGCTCAATGTTTTTTTTGTTTTTTTTATCCCGTTTCTTTTATCTAAAATGCTTCCAGGTCCTCCAAGAAAAGTTTACAGAGTTTGCCTCAGAGACGGGAAGTGTGGGGCAGGAACGTGTGACGGCCGTCAACCAGATGGTGGACGAGCTTATAGACTACGGTCACTCTGAGGCCGCCACCATCGCTGAATGGAAGGACGGGGTTAATGAAGCCTGGGCCGACCTGCTGGAGCTGATGGAGACCAGAGCGCAGATGCTCGCTGCGTCACACCAGCTGCATAAGTTCTTCTCAGACTGCAAAGAGGTAAGACACAGAGATTAAGATCGTATATAAGACATCCGGACACAATGCTGCAGCAGGTATACTTATGATGTTTTTAGGGATCTTGCAAAGCCCTCTGGATATTTATGAAAATATATTTACTCTGTATTTGTTTTCCTTTCAACAGATTCATGTAACCTACCCTGAAATTTATTAATTTACAGATTTTGGCTCAGATAGAAGACAAGCACCGCAGACTACCAGAAGTTCGGGCTCGGCAGGGGAGCACCTCCAACACCAGCACCCTGCAGAGACTCCTGCAAAGCTTCGAACAGGACATCCAGCTGCTGGTCACTCAGGTACAGCAGCTCTATGAGAGAGAGTATAGCTGACAGCTTCTAGCTGCTGCTTGAGTTTGTTTGGTTTTCTGGTTTGTAAAAGTTTTCCTTGGACCTTTTGAAATTTTTTAAATCCTGGGGAGAATCCTCAGGAAAAAAAGGGGGGCTGAATAATTTTCTAGAGTTAAAGGTATTTTTATCAGAATTGTCCTTGGTCAACTAATTATAGAGGGATCAAAATGTATTTGTCTCTTAGTCAAACTGTCTTTCAGTTTGGTAAATTTTACTCCGACAAATTTCCTGTATTTGATGCAAAGTATTGAAAATTAAAGACAATACTGAAGCTAATCATTGATTTTTTTAGTTTAGAAATATTTATATATACAGTAGTTAAAAAAGATGATTCTTGCTTTTTGCCTCTTAGGTAATAAACCTTTAGAACAAAAAATGATGGTCAAACTTTTTCCATGATTATATTTATGTACTGTATAAAATCATCTCTAGAGGTTTGTGATTCTGAGTTCTGCCAGCAGGCCCAGCAGCTGTGTTCAGTGCGTCATTTGGATAAAAAACTCTGCTGTTTATGCATTGTTCTGGTTTTTTGTTCCACCGCTCTGTCAGGTGCGTCAGCTGCAGGAGAGTGCGGCCCAGCTGAGAACGGTGTATGCAGGAGAGAAGGCCGAAGCCATCGCCTGTCGGGAGCACGAAGTGATGCTGTGCTGGAAGGAGCTGTTGACATCATGCGAAGAGTGTCGACTGCAGATCACCACGGAGACGGACAAGCTGAGGTTCTTCAGCATGGTCCGGGATCAGATCATGTGGATGGAGTCAATCATCTGCCAGATAGGCACAGGAGAAAAGCCAAGGTACATACAGAAAAATTATACAAAGAACCCCCAGCAACTGGAGATTTGTTATCATAATAAACCAGACAATAAAAGTTAAATAAGAATATATATTTTTTTTCCTTTCTGTTCCCTTAACCCGGGGGTCGGCAGTTCCAGAGCTGCATGCAACTCTTTAGCGTTCCCCTTGCGGCTCCCTGGAGCTTTTTCAAAAATTTATGAAAATCGTTTTTTTTTTTTTTGTTTGTTTTAATATGGTGTGCAGGAGGTCAAACAAAAAATAATTATGTTTTCCAATGCTGTAAACATTTGTATAATAAATAAATTTAAACGATAATTTGCGTTATAGCCATAGAGATCAGTGGTCATAACTTGCAGCCAGCGCAGCGCAGTGACAGGCAAACAATGCTGCTGGATCCCAAAGGGGACAAAAGGAAAATAGCTGATGAGAAAAGAGGATTCAAATGATGGACCGAATCAATTGCTTTCATTATCAATGCGGAAGGATTGCCTGCATTTTTGCTTGGTAATGAGAGGTTGGCAAAAAATAAAAATACAAATTTGGAAAGGCATTTCCAGGGAAGGCAAGCTAAATATGCAGCCAGCAACCAAGCTGGGGGAAAGAGAAAAGGCGTGATTGCAGAACTTCTGGATAAATTAGAGGAGAGCAAATTTAGATTTAAGAAGTGGGTTGCATCTCCAAACTCCATTACTGCTGCTAGTTCCGTTGCAAGGATGGAAAACCGTCCACAGGTCAAACAGGTAGCGCTCTGATACAGGGATGAGAACTTTCTTCCATTTTTTTCCCCAAATCCTAAAAATATAAATCACACGAAGGAACTCTGAGATGTGGGATGTCAGGCTTAGAGAGCTCTGCTCTCATGGATGTCAGTTCCTGCTTGGTTCCTCATGACTCAGTCAACTCCTCCCAACAGAAACACGTCCACCGTAGAAAGATTCCTTTATCGTATTTCTATAATTTCATCAATGCAACGAAACTTAAACCGCGTGGTGAAGGGCGGTAAAGTGGTGCGCGATGACACTGCTCGTCCCTCACCTCATGCTGCGATGTGACATTTGCTCAAGGATAAACATTTAATCATGAATGCTTATTATACATTGAAGCCCACAAAGTCCTTTTCTATAGTTGGATAATACACTTAGAGCCCGTGTTTCCATAAGAGGCATGTATGAGACTTTTACATTTTTGCGGCTCCAGACATATTTATTTTTTGGTCTAATATGGCTCTTTGAGCAGTTTGGGTTGCCGACTCCTGCCTTAACCTTTTGGAAAAAAAGCTGAAAGGTTCATTATTTTCTATGGAAATTAGCTTCAGGAGCCTTTTTCTAAGGACCAGGGTTTTATTAAGAAAAAAAATATATATTTCCAATGTAGAAATCTACCCAAGAAAACTGATGAAGTATTAGGGCCAGGTTAGAGATTTCCCTCTTTTTCTCCAGAATAAAGTTGTAACATCACAAGAATAAACTCGTAACCTTATGAAAATAAAGTCATAAAATTATTAGAATAAAGTTGTAATAATATGTGAATAACGTCATACCATTACCAGAATAAATCGTAACATTACAAGAATAACGTTGTAACATTACGAGAATAAAGTTGTAAGAATATGAAAATAAAGTCGTAACATTACGAGAATAAAGTCATAACATTACAAGAATAACGTAACATTACAAAAATAAAGTTGTAATAATAGGAGAATAATGTTGTAACAATAGGAGAATAAAGTCGTAATGATATGAGAATAAAGTCATAACATTACAAGAATAACGTAACATTACAAAAATAAAGTTGTAATAATAGGAGAATAATGTTGTAACAATAGGAGAATAAAGTCGTAATGATATGAGAATAAAGTCATAACATTACGAGAATAACGTTGTAACATTATGAGAATAAAGTCCTAATAATATGAGAATACAATCGTAACATTGCGATAATAACGTTGTAACATTACGAGAATAAAGTCATAACATTACAAGAATAACGTAACATTACAAAAATAAAGTTGTAATAATAGGAGAATAATGTTGTAACAATAGGAGAATAAAGTCGTAATGATATGAGAATAAAGTC